AAAAAAGAAAATGCCAAGCAAGATATGCTCAAAACATTCCTGGATATGTCACAATAAAATTGTAAAGTCGAAGAAAAATATTTAAAAGAAGCAAGAGAAAAGGACTTGGCACTTTGAAAGAAATGGAAGAGAGACACCTTCTCAAAAAACAAACAATATAATGGGAGCCAGCACGCCACAAAATGATACGTATTTAAGTGCCGAAAGAAAATGACCGCCAATCAGCATTTCTAACCAGAAAAAATATCCTTCAAAAATAGTGAATTTGGGGCTGAGGCTGTGGCTCAGCGGTAGAGCGCTCACCTAGCATGTGCGGGGCCCTAGGTTCAATCCCCAGCACCACATAGATAAATAGAAAATAAAGATATTAAAAAATTAACTATTCCAAAACATAAAACCTGGGGAATTTGTTATTAGCAACCTGTATGTAAGAAAAAAAAAACTAATTAGAGTTCTTCAGAAAGAGGAAAAGGTGATCTCAGATAGAAATGCAAACATAAAAGAGACTGAAGGTCATGATATGGATTGATAGAAGTGAATGTTGACAGCATTACATATAAATTAGAAGACAGGATGGACTCTTTTATATAAAATTCAAGTTTTATTTAAAGCAACTAGAAAATAATGTTTATCATAGATCTCAAGAAAGCAGAAGAGAAATAACAAAACAGATATCAATGAAATAGAAAGCAAGTGTACTGTAGAGAAATTTAACAGAGCCAAGAAGTTGTTCTTTAAAAAGATTAATAAAAGTGGTGAGTTTCTTAAGTTGATACTGAGAACAACTTTCTATCAATAAATTGAGCAATTCAAATGAAAAGGATAATCTCCTCAAAAAGTAACCAAAGCTGGCAGAAGAAGAGATAGAAAATCTCTGTTAAGAACAATATATGTTAAGAACATTGAATTCATTATTCAAAACCCTTCTGTAAGTGAAATCCTCTAGAAGTCCCCTCATTTAGGACAACATGCACCGCACCCCAGAAGCCTTGTCTTTGTTTTCTAAATAAGCTCAGCAGTGTCCCCTGTCTCCTGGGTGAGACTCTCCTGGGGTCCCTAGCCTCGAACTGTGTCATTGCAGGCTGGGCACTTCCAGGCTGCTCACCTGCCAGCAGGTCTCCCAAAACATGGCTTGTCGCAGGGAGTTAGGATCTACCCCAGCCACATGCAAAATCAGTGCTAGACACAGTACGGATATAAATATGGGCAGCAAAACAGCTTTTAGAGCTATTTTTTTTAAGTATTTTTTACTTGTAGATGGACACAATACTTTTATTTTTATTTATTTTTATGTGGTTCTGAGGATGGAACCCAGTGCCTCACACATACTAGACAATGCTCTACCACTGAGCTACCACCCCAGCCCCAGCTTTTAAGCTTTTTAGAGCTTTTAGAGGATATCAAGGAAAACATCTTTGTGGCCCCAGATTAGACAAAGATTTTTTTCTTTTTTTACCAGAGATTTAACCCAGGGGTGCTTAACCACTGAGCCACATTGCCAGACCTTTTTAAATGTTTTAATTGAAGACAGGGTCTTACTAAGTTACTTAGGGCCTTGCTAAGTTGCTGAGGCTGGTCTTTAAACTTGCAATCAATCCTCCTGCTTCAGCCTCCCAAGCCATTGGGGTTGCAAACATGTGCTAACATGTGCCTGTTTCTTAAATAGGACCCTAAAGTGCTAACCATAAAAAAAAAGTGACATTGCCTTTATTAAAATTAAAACCTCCGGTCTACCAAAAGACACTATGAAGAGAATGAGAAGACAAGCTACAGAGTTGAAGAATAGATCCAATAACAACTCACATCCAAAATACGTAAGATCTCCAATCCATTAATAAGGAAGTCAGCCCAATAAAAATGGGTAAAAGACTTGAACAGGCACTTCCCACAGAGGATATCTAAGGGATGGCACGTGTGTCAACAGTGCTCAGCCTCATGAGCCAGGTTGGGGTCTGCGATAAGGTGTATTGTGCACTCCCCGGAGAGGATCCATTAAGACTGTCAAGAGTCCTGAGGGCCTGCCGGGCAGAGCTCTGTGTCCCAAATGCTCACCCAAACTGTGGTCCAGGCGTCCCCTCCTGAGTGGAGGAGGGGAGTGCACACGCAAGTTCCCCAAGAGAAGTGGTCAGCCGCAGAGGCCGCGGCAGCCCGAACACCGACACAGGGAGGTAAACAGAGCAGAGACCCTGGAGCCTTGAGGGCGGGTGGATGCAGCCCGGTGGTGGAGGCCTGCCCAGCATGTGGAAGACCCTGGGTCCCATCCCCAGCACCGCTCTTCAAAAAAAAGAGAGGGTCTGAGTGTCCACAGCCAGGTGCCTCATGGTGTGGCCTCCTTCAGAGAGCTGCCGTATCCAGCAGGGACCAAAGGCAGGGCCCCAGCTCACGTGGACGTCACACTGACTACAAATACCTTTTTAGTGAGTGTGAGGGGGTGACTGCGAGGACCTGGGGTCCTGGTTGGTGTTTTACTTCTGGTCTGACTGCCCTTCTCTTGGCGTGGTGGTCAGTCGGCTCCTGAACTGGACCCCCTGAGCACCGTGGCGTTCCTTGCCCACTGGGACCGTCAGTGGGGGCTCAACTCAGGTGTGGCCTGGACTTCTCCAGCAGGAAATGACAGGCACCAGCCTGCAGGCCCTGCTCCAAGCTCACCCTTCACTGCCACCAGGGTGACCGCAGCTCCCGGTGCCAGCTTCAGTGCCCCTTCCTCCAGGAAGCCCTCCTCCCTCCCCTCCTGTTGTCATCACTGTGATCCACTCACTGCACAGATGGTTGAGGGGCCCCACGAGGGCAGGGACACACTCGCTGCTCCCTGCCTACCTCAGCACCCAGAGCCTGGCATGTGGTTGGAGCTGGGTGATTCGTGTTAAACAAAAGGGTGAAAATCTACATCTGAACCAACATTTTTTCACTCCTTGAGGATTGTATTAATGCAGTCAACACATTCCTAAGAATCAGGGCTTTCTTGTTGCAGTGAGAGGTCCCAGAGCCAGCGTGGGCGCTCCTGGGCTGAGGCATGGAGGAGAGCCTGGGCGGTTCCCTTGGGTGTCTTGGACTCCGCTGCCAGCTGGGCTGCCTGGTCTCCGTCTGCGGGGCCTGCGTCCCTGCTTGGCGGAGGACTCTGCTGTGGAGGGCCTCAGGCCTGTTTTCTTCTTTCCCCACAGGGATTTGCTGCAGGCGCTGACGGAGGAGGAGCTGCATACCCTGGAGCGGAGCCTCTGCGTCTGCCAGGACGTGGAGCTCCCCATCCGGGCAGACGTCCCGGTGCCCACTGCCCTGGCACCTGCCTTTCCCGCATCCCTTCCCCCCGAGGAGCCGCTCTCAGCCGAGGCCAGGAACCCAGAGGCAGAGCTGGCCTGCTCCATGCAGTACGATGACCAGGAGCTGGAGGAGCTCAGCCGCATGGTCCACCGGGCTGGGGACGAGATGTCATCTCTGCTCTCGCCACCCAGTGCCTGCCAGTCCCCGGCACACAGGCCAGGGGCAGAGGGCAGCCCCCGAGGGGAGGCTTCTCCCGGCAGAATGCGGCTGAAGTCGGGCAGCGACGAGGAGGAGCGGGTGTTCTTCATGGACGACGTGGAGGCGGTGGAGGCCCCTGCCAGGCTGGAGTCGCCAGGTGCTCCGTGTGGGTGGGCAGACGGTGCTGGGACCGGCCCCCAGGAGAGCCGGCAGGGCGGGCAGAGCGAGGAGGAGGGGGTCAGCAAACCTGCTGTGGTGAAGGGGGAGGACTGGAGCAATAACAACAATGAGGGTGACCACAGGAGGCTGGCCGCCCTGCCCGGCTCGACCTGCAGCTGCCTGGACTCGCAGCTGTCCCTGGACGGTTGGGAGGTGAGTGCAGATGACGCCGAGACGGCTGAGATGATCGCCCACCGGACGGGGGGCATGAAGCTCTCGGCCACTGTCATCTTCAACCCCAAGTCACCCTCCTCCCTGGACTCTGCAGTGGCCACCCAGGAAGCCCCAGGCCACGGCCTTTCCCCACTGGAGCCCGGGGCCCAGGGGGCTGGGGGAAGCTCCCACAAACTCAGCGCTGCGGCCACCAGCTGCCTCCTCCATTCCTGCGTGTGCTGTGGGAGCTGTGGGGACGGCCGTGAGGATGCGGTGGAGCACCTGCGGGAGAAGTGTGGCCCAGGGAGCATCATCAGTGCCTCGCACCCTGCCACAGGCTTGGCCAAGGCCAGCGACAAGGGCCCCAAGGGACTGGACGAGGCCCAGCCTGCCCCTGAAGCCATCCTGCCAGTGGAAGACGCCTCCGATAGACAGGAGGGCAAAGCCTCGGCTTCTAGCAAGTGCCTGGCACACACCTCCGGCCCCCAGGAGGACTCGGCAAGCAGGCCGCACACAGAGGGCCAGGCCACGGGCCTGCAGGAGGAGCCAGAGGCCAGGGAGCGGGATCCTGGGAAGCCCTCTGCGCCCGGGAGGGAGAGTCCGCCAGCAGATGGGACCCAAGCCCAACCCCAGCACCGGCCAGGCTCCAGGTAAGGGCTGGCTCTGTTCCAGGACCAGACGGTCCTCTGTATTGGGAGCACGACTTGCGCCAGATTCTCAGAACCTCAGAGCGTTTCCCACCAGAGACTGGAGCTGGCCCAGGCCCAGGTGTGTGGCTGTGTAGGAGGGGCTGGGAGTAGCTGGCCCTGAGGCACCCACAGGATGCTAATCAGCCAGGGTGACACCCCGGCCTGACCTTGATGTTCCTGGTGGCTTTCAGGTGATAGGGGCACAGTGCAAGGCCCTGGATCCACTCTCTTTTGCTGCAGGGCCAATCTCTACCCTGGTGTGACCCATGAGTAGGTGGACTGGGCAGTGGTGAGTGCTGGGACATTCATGGCCTGCCCACTGCCACTGGCCATGGCTGGTTACACTGTCCACCTCTCTTTGCTGACCAAATGGGAACATTCTCATGGCTCCAGCCTGCCTGGGTTCGCTTGCAGGCCCTCTGGAGGGGGAGGTTGGGCCCTCCCCTCCCCTCCCTGCGGGGCGGGGGCTGGGGCCCTGGCTGGACTGGGGTCTGTGGGATCCTGGCAATGCTCACTCCTTAGACCTGAGCCTCTGCTTCCCTGGCCTCTTCCCCATGTCTGTCCTGAGCACAGCAGGTTCTAGAGCGACCCTGGGGCAAGGTCATGCCCTGCTTCTCTGGAGTGTTGGGAGGTGCAGGCACAGCTGGGTGGCACTGCCTCAGGACGGGGGCGCTGTCCTGGGGGCCACCAGGCAAGTGGGCAGATGAGGCAAGGACAGGAAGGGCTCTGCTGGAGGCTGGGAGGACAGCAAAGGGCCCACAGCAGGATGGGGCCAGATGAGGGCCAGGGCGGGAGCAGCCTGTGTGAGAGGCAGGCAAGCAGGTCTTGGGGAGGGTCCCCACACCAGGGGGATGGTTTGGGACCAAGGTAAGGAAGCTTCTTCCTGGCTGTACCCAGTACTCTCCCCCACGCTGTGTGTGAGAGCTGGCCAGGACCCTGTGCCCGCCACCGCCGTGGGGCTGGGCCAGGTTCTGGGCAGCTGTAGCTGCGTCTGCGTGACCGCAGCCCCTGGACCCTCTGGTCTCTCCCTGCAGACTGCCCACTCTGGGCATTATCGGTGGAGTCATAGTGGTGTCAAGGTTTGCCTACATTGTAGCCCAAACTGTTGGCTCCTTTTCACGGCTGAGTAGTGTCCACTGCCAGGAAGGCCACCTTCGCTTCCCCACTCACAGTGCAAGGCGCGAGTGCTGCTGCCCTGAGAGTCGTGTGGCGTCTTTGCTCCCTGGGGACCCCTCTGAGGGTGGAGTGGTGGGTCATGTGGTGACTGTATGCTGAACTGTTTGGAAAACTGTGACTGCTCTCAACGCGGCTGCGGTTTACACACTCACTGCCAGTGTGCGAGGCTTCCCGTTTCCCGTGCCCTCGCCAGCACTTGTTACTGTCTGTTTAAGGATTTTTTTTGTCCTTAGGGCATGACCCATTAGACTTGTACAGTCACCTGATTGCTTTAAAGTCACCTGGAGTTACTCCTGTCTTTGAGGGTGTGCCACTGATGGCGCTCACAGCAGGTGACTTCATGTAGCACTGGGGATATCTGTATTCATTTATTTCTTTTTGGGGTTCTGGGATCAAACCCAGGGCCTTGCTCACACAAGGCAAGCACTCTGCCAATCAGCTACACCCCAGCCCTTTGTTTTGAAGCAGGGTCTCGCTGCGTTGTTGAGGCCGGCCTTCAACTTGGGATCTTCCTGACTCAGCCTCCCACGAAGCTAGGACTACAGGTGTGTGCCACTGTGCCCAGCTTAGATGGCCATTTGTATTGAGTTCAGTTTTATAATTATGTGAAATAGCATACGGTCCTCAGGCAGATCTCCGAAATAAGATGAAGAGAAGTCTGTCGGAAGGGACTTTATTCTCCCATGAGCCTAAAGGTTATAAGTTCTCATAGTTTATTTTTCAATATTCGGAAACACAGTGGAAGGTGGGGTGAGGTGCAGATGGGCTTGCGTGCTCCTGCTGGTTGGCAAAGCGCCTCCCACGCCCAGCACTGCCACCTGTCCCTGCTCCTGACTCTCCACTCCAAGTACTCTGGACAAGTCCTGCTTCCTCTGTAGCTGAGCGGCCCTCTCGGTGGCTGGGTCAGTGGGCACTCAGTGGGGCCTGGTGCCCACTATGGGTTGTGACCAGCCTTCGCCTCAGGATGGTGGGAGGGCCGTAGTGGGGCCTGGCTCTCTGCTGGTTTTGAAAGGCCTTTTTGAGGGGCGGCCACGTTAGTGGGACGACTTGACTTCGCGGCTTTTCCCCAGGCGGGCGAAGTGCTCGTCCACATGGTTGAGTGGAGCCACGGGAGAAGAGGACTTTTGGTTTTGGACCTGTCCTTTGCTGTTTGTCTGGGTGACAGCTAGTGGACACCTCCATCAGACTGTGCTTGCCCATGGCTGCTCACATCCACATCCTGGCCTGTTCAGCTCAGTACATGTCCTAAAGCTCAGCCATGGAAAGGAGAGAAAATCCACGGTGGCTCAGCAGGTGTCCTGCCTTCCCGAAGCAGTTCCAAAGGTGCAGAGGGTCTGAGGACAAAGCACAGGGGAGGTGGCAAGGTGGTCAGGACAGCTTTGCATTGGGCTCGGGGCCTTGGTCAGCAGGGCCCCGAGCCCAGCGCTGTGTTGGAGGGAGCTGGTAATCAGGCTGGCCAGGCTGGCATCCGCAGCAGGACTGCATAGGGGTCATTCACTCACTCACCATTTCCACATGCTCTCAGGGGCTGAGCCAGCATGGAGACCCACGGAGGAGCTGGATGGACGTGGCCTGTCTTCACCCAACATGGGGCTGACAAGCTGTGGGCAAAAAGGCCTGAGCAACCAGTTGTGCACAGGCAGAGACCACTGGAAGGCAAACAGGAGGCCATGGGGCCGGCTGTGGGGCCAGCTGGTGCAGCCTCGCAGGCCCTGGTGTGGTCCCCAACCTGTCCTCCCTGCCATTCCTGTGCCTGCCTCAGCTCAGTGCCTGGAAGGGCTGATGGCTTCTACCTCTGCCTGCATCTCGGCCGGTCCCACTGCAGTCCACATTTGACCCTGGGGCCCGATTGTCCAGCAGGGGCCCCTGCAACCCCTGTGGTGTGTGGCAGGAAAGCTGAGACGGGGCAACAGTCAGGCCCTGCCCTCACGGGCTCCTGGTGCCATGCCTGAGCCTGGATTTCGTGTGCTACAGATGAAGATGAAGGAGGTGCGTGGAGCTGGGGCACAGGCCCTACCTGCAAGGCCAGATGCCCCGGGCCCTAGGACTGTGGGTTCTGGTCAGGTAGAAGACAGCGTCCAGGTGGAAGGACAGGGCTGTCCAGCTAGGAGGACCAACATAGCCCAGAGACAGACCGCTGGAGCCTGGAGCCTGGGAGTGAGGGCTCAGGCATTCCCCATAGCTTCAGCTAGACCCCAGGGAGGCAGGACATTGTCCTTGTGGACACTGCTGCGTTGGCCCTGCTGAGGAAATGTCCTTCAGCTCTGGACCTCTTCCCTACCTTTTCAGTGGTCACAGATGAACCCGTTTTAGAAATGCTGACCTTTTTTTGAATGCTTATCTCCCAGCATAGCCTCACCCTTGGCCCAGAGCATTCCTGAAACCCACCTTGCCCGCTGCTGGCCGATGACTCCTGCCATCTCGTGCCCTCTCTGTGGACATGCAGAACTGTGTTCCATCAAAATAACACTGGCTCGGCTCCTCTGTCTTTCCATCTTTAAATGTGGTCCTTGTTCATTCTAGAAACTTTGAAAAATGTAAAAAAGAAATTTAAAAAATCATCCCATCTTATGCGCAAGTTGGTTGTATTATTTTTTTCACCGAAAATAACATTCTAATGGCTCCTCCACAGGTTCTGTGAAAACACAGCTGCAGTGGACTGTCACTAGGTCACCAAGTACACACTGATTGACTCCTGTGTCCACCTTTTCTTCTGTGTTAAATTGCCCTGGGAGGGCTTGGTTCTTCAGACCCCACCCTTGGCAGATGATTATCACGGCAAGGTGCAGAGCATTCCCAAAGACTCTCATCCCAACACAGTGGTGTGTGCTTGGGGTCAGCACCGACCCACCTCGCTGCCCGGCTCAGTGGGCCAAAAGTAGGTTTGTTTTTCTCTGTTGGCTGGTGGTCTGGGCACTTATGCCTTCTGGGAGTGACCATCTGCCTTACTTGCTGGCCTTCAGCTGGGACTCTGTGTTTCCCTCGCTGGCCTGGAGTCGCCTCTCTGCTGTGCTTGCAGTGGACAGTGTCCTGCAGTCTGCTTTTTGTGGAGCTAGGGATTGATTTAAGGGCTTTCCTTGAGACAGGCAACCATAGCCACTGACCCACACCCTGGGCCCCTTTCTCCAAGGTATTACTACCTGTGTCCTGTTTTGAGTTCCCTGTGTCCTGTTTTGAGGTCCCTGTGTCCTTTTTTGAGGTCCCTTT